AGAGACAAACTTAAATTAAGGAAAATAGTTAGGTATTTAATCTTATAATGATAGTAGTTTGCGCTAAAAAAACGTTAATCTTAGTTTTGTCAAAGCAATATATTTGCAACAAACTACAAATTTAAAAACTATTAACATTGACGTGCGTCAATATTTAATTTAGCTGCTAAAGAAAAATCATGATTTGGTAAAATAATTTTATTTGACGTAACAAAAGTATAACGTTGTAATTAGTGAAATTATAAAATTATTTCTATACTTTCCTTAATTTTAGTTTGTCTATTAAACTTTGTTACGTAATATAAAACATTTTTTACGTTTGTATATCCAAAAAGTGTGTACTTTAACAATATGTAAAAAAATAGCGGTTACTATTAAAAAATATAATATATTCCCCCTTGACTTTACAGACGTACGCCACTGGCCACAATTTTAAATTATGTAGTGGCAGCAAACATTTTATCATTTCGGAAACCGTTTTTAAAACATGTTAGTTTGAAGATATATTGAGTGTTCCACTGAAAATTTCCACCCTGTATAGCAAAGGTAATAGGCGCAGAATCATTGTAAAATGCATACTATGTTGCCCCATCCAAGTTTACACGAAAATTTTTATTAAGAAAAATTAAAATTAATTTGTAAGACAGACAAATGTAATGGTCTAATTTTTTTTTGGGAGAAATGCAACAAAGAAAGAGCAAGTATGTTAAGGGAAAAACTTACGGGTTAAAAAAACCCTTACCCCAAAACGGCGCACCCTTACAAAAAAGTGTGAGAAGTTTTGATTTCGACATGATTCCTTATTTGGGCGTTTTACAAAATGAAAATAAAACATACAGTTACAACATTATTTTTAAGGGGGTTTACACCATACCCCGTGCCCTTCTCTTGAAAACGTTAGCCTCGATTAAAAACCTTCGATTTTAGCACTGTAGCGTTAGGGTTGTAAATCCTAATGCTCACCCAAGCAAACCTTACACGAGGTAAAATTCGGTCGGCCCGGTACTTTACCGATAGTTCGAATGTATCATCACTAACGTTAAATTTAACGTGCAGGCTATCTGTAGAAATCATTAATTTGCCCATACTAACTAGCCCAATAACGTTTTTAACAGATAACCTGCACGTTAAACGTTTCTGATACATCACAGGGCTGAATAATTATTGTAAGCGTTTACATGCTATTTATATCACAGATTTACTTTCATTAACCTACGTCAATTATGTTAGTATGCAGGAAATGCTGAATACGTCAACCTTATTGTATTTCCTTAATCTGTTCTAAATTAACAGCACCCTAAACCAAGAATTTCATATCTCGGATAACACTGAAACATGACGCGAACAAATAGATACAAAGCGAGCATTTCACCATGAAAAATTTTGGCACATAGTCCTAACCCCAGACTAAAAATTCTATATCTCCGTTATAATATTGGCGCACAAATCGTGGAGGTTAGTACAAAAATCAGCACAAAAGGGAACTAATTAATAAGTAGGGCTATTCGGTTCTTGAATGTTGACTTTAGAATAAAGGCACGTTGCACTTTTTAATAATCGGTTTTCAGACTATATCCTTTGATGTGGTCGCTCAATATGTTGTTGACGAAAATAGTCTTTTGGACAACCAAAATCGATAAGAAACGGCTTTTTCTCGTGTTCTCCGCTTTTCCATATATTTCAGAGGCAAGCTCTCGCCGTTTTTTACCAATTAATTTTTGCCCATAACGTTTGATGTGGTCGTTCGATCGTAATAACATTCGATTTGGGGCAGGTTGGATTTGGTTGCTTTTTAGCGCATTTTTGCAAATTTATTTGTAAAAAGTAGCTTTTAATCTCACTTTGGCTGGCTGGCTGGCTGGCAGCAAATGTGGGCGCGTAGAAGAACTCTTGTAGAAAGGCAACGGGTGTACGTGTATCTACAGGGCCGTGAAATTTGTCAACCTTAGGGACATGGCTACATGATGTGGGGTTGGCGACATCTGGGCGTCATCCTCGAGCGTAGTATACTAACGTGAAGGTTTTTCAGTTTTTTTCCTATCTTCTACTACAGTTTTGGTCCGATTCTTTTGAAATTGGTGTCGTCGGAAAGATGTTGTAAACGCGCACAACTCCTGCGTGGCGGAATTTTGTTTTTTTGTCATAGGGGCGAAATTAACGACCTTTTGCGAGGCGCGCGCGCGCGTCTTCGAGAAGTAGTCAGGCGCCTTTTACCTTCCGTTGCGAACTCACGCGGTTTAACGTTTCGTGAATCTCGAATCGCTGTCTCTCTTTCTCGTGTCGCCAATAGAAGTGAATTGCGAGTGAACGGGACGTCGGAAGTGGGTACCGTAAAAGAGAATGTGGTAGCCCGCGACACGATCTCACTGATGGTGGAGTCAAATCTTCAAACGCGAATTGCGGGTGAACGGGACGTCGGAAGGGGGTACCGTCAAAGGGAATGTGGTAGCCCCCGACACGATCTTCCTGATGGTGGAGTCAAATCTTCAAACGCGAATTGCGGGTGAACGGGACGTCGGAAGGAGGTACCGTCAAAGGGAATGTGGTAGCCCCCGACACGATCTTCACTGATGGTGGAGTCAAATCTTCAAATCGCGAATTGCGGGTGAACGGGACGTCGGAAGGGGGTACCGTCAAAGGAAATGTGGTAGCCCCCGACACGATTTTCCTGATGGTGGAGTCAAATCTTCAAACGCGAATTGCGGGTGAACGGGACGTCGGAAGGGGGTACCGTCAAAGGGAATGTGGTAGCCCCCCGACACGATCTTCCTGATGGTGGAGTCAAATCTTCAAACGCGAATTGCGGGTGAACGGGACGTCGGAAGTGGGTACCGTAAAAGGGAATGTGGGAGCCCGCGACACGATCTCACTGATGGTGGAGTCAAATCTTCAATCGCGAATTGCGGGTGAACGGGACGTCGGAAGGGGGTACCGTAAAAGGAAATGTGGTAGCCCCCGACACGATCTTCCTGATGGTGGAGTCAAATCTTCAAACGCGAATTGCGGGTGAACCGAACGTCGGAAGTGGGTACCGTCAGAGGGAATGTGGTAGCCCCCGACACGATCTTTCTGATGGTGGAGTCAAATCTTTAAAAGCGAATTGCGGGTGCACGAGGAAAGTGGGAAGCGGTTAGTGAATGTAGTAGCCTTCGACAAGATCTGTTATTGATGGTTGAGTCGAAAGTGGCTAATAGAATACTGATCTGCCACACAAAAATGCGCTGAAGTCCCTTCGATCTCAAACGAGGACTTTGATAATTTTTTTTCTATGAAAAGGCCAAACTTCCGTAAGGTAGAAGCATTAGCATTTGTTTGGGAGCTATCCGTCGAATAATTTGTCTTAGAAAACATTTGTCATTGCGTATAGGAAATCAATTTTAAACAGTGTTCAACCGTCAACCCCTTTATTGTACGAAACTGTTACAATATGGACATCGTATGAAAGAGATGCTTCTTGTTCCATTTCGTTGTTTCGTGTAAAAGTGTTGCCGTTTTGTTCATCCAAATGAAACTCTTTCTGTACTTCTTATGACCCTAAGTACATCATCTTGATGGATTTTACTATAAAATCGTAATCGAGTATATGTTGTTTCCAATAATTGACTTGTTAGTAACATTCTGTATCTGCAACCATGTGGCTTTACCTTTACCGTCACTAAAACTACCGGTGGTATCTATGGCGAGTGAGCCAGTGCATCTTTGTAGGGTGATTCATCTATGCTATCGTACACAGCGTGGTTCCGTTGATGGAATAATTTCTGAAGTGCAGAACTCGGATTAGACCATGTTCCCACAATTTCCTATAGCTTTCTTTTGTCTTATGACAGTCTACTTGAATTTTGTTTAAGATGGTATGCTATGTTACTTCGCTCATGTCATTTGGACCAGACGTTAATGTTTCTAATGTTGCCTTTTTTATCGCGTTTTTGGCCTAGGAGTATTGAATAACACTGTCGGCACTGACCAAATAGTTTAGGGACTGGGGGCTTAAATTTTTCACCCAAATGCATCATGCAAATTGTACAGAAAATGCTTCACTATTGCGTCCCATTTATTTCGTATCGATCAATTGAAACAATTCAAAGGTTATATACTTATAAAAATTGCTCAATTGTCGTCGACAGTATTTTGCAATAATTATACTCGGTTCCTAAAAGTGATGTCCTCGTCTTAAATAGATAATATTATTTGCAATCGTTTTCGAGAGTTTTTATCTGCAAATTACACATCGTCGATTGAACACTGAAGTGTTTACAACGCCTCGCAATTCCAACTCATGTAGGTACGTATTACCAAAAATTCCAAATGTTCTCATTACGTACGCATGTTACTGGTAAGAGGGATTTGCGTCCGGCCCAACTCTTTACGCCGAAAGGTGAAGTTTGTTTGGTAAACACCGATTAGTATAGTAAGGTCAATGGTTCCATTTATTTTGGGGTTATGTGGAAATACAGTGCAATCTTTATACGTTGTGCCCTAGAAAGAACTAAATGACTCTGAAATTAAACGAAGGACCTGGAATTTAAAAGATTAACTTTCACAATCAAAAGTAGTCGAAGACATGGGTAGATGAAATTTGGCCGCACAATATGAAACCATTTACCAAAATAGCACTCTCCAGTAAAAAGTATGGACGGACGTGTTTCAAAAAATCCACAAAAAAGTGGAACAAAATTACTATCTACCTAATGTTGGTATGCTCAGCCCCCTGCGAGATTCCTTTCTTTTAGGTGAAAAACTAGGAAGAAAAGTAACTACAGGTAAAGTTCCGCAGCCGCTCGAAACCAACACATATTTTTTTTAATTACTCCAATTGATGTTTATGGAGTTACAGAATTCAAAGAAAAAAGTAAAGTATATACGAAGGAAATACACGAGGTTGCCAAAAATGAATCTCTATTCAAAATCAACAGTTTTGACGTCTTTTGAGCAAAACTTACGTGGGGACTAAATTCATTAAATACACGTCTTGGCCACTCCGCCTTTATTCTTGCTTCCAACTATCTTGGCACTTTGGTTTTCCTTTTCATATTGAACCTCCCAATCGATTCGTTCGTTAGTCTGGTATCACAATGGGCCACTAGTTGGAACACAGGAAGACCCGGTGCAAATACATGAGGCTCGTTTTGCTGGAAGGAGGAAATGTGGTAGAGGAAGAATGTTAGAGGGTGACGCACCTGCACGGTGCACAATCGGAAGAATCCGTTGATGATCTTAACAACAACCGTAATCATGGACGACGCATCGATGGGCCATGGGGACTATTAAACAAACCCGTTAGTTTTATGTCCCAAAACGGGATGGCGAAACATTGCTCCCAATAATTCAGAGGGCAGTTGAAGTAGGATCGGTCATCCACTCAGACGAATGGCCTTCGTATCACAGCTTACAACAACTGAGATATAACCACGACACCGTTAATCATCAGGAAAACTACGTGAATCCAGAAACAGGAATAGAACGCAGACTACATCGACTTTCTAGCAACATGGTAGACCCCATACTAAATTCAGTTTAGGTCGGTAGAGCTTATACCTACATACTAAATCGGCCGGCACCTAAAAAAGTGATGGTAATACTGAGGATCCTTCGATATTCATATTCCGTTGTATCGATTTATTTTACATT